TTGTGACCTTTGTAACTTGGCAATACATTAATTTTCATTTACTATTATCTGTCACTGTACCATATAAAATACTATATAGACTGTGATATCACTGATTTCATTGTCTTTTATTAAGACACGGAAGTTCTCTTCAAGTACCCTTTTTCTTAATTTATATTTATGTATGTATTGTAAGTTTTGAAGCATTAATCGTCAATCCATCTAGTTGAGTAGATCCGCTTTTGTATCAAAGGCATCTCCTGTTCGTTCATAGGGAGCGATCAACACATCACATTATCGAGTCATGGCTGAGGAAATCTTAAATAAGGTGAAGCAGCTATATAGAAATATCTGCCTTTAATACTTCTCAGAGGTACACATTTCCGATTTCAACGAATTTTATCGGTCATAAATGTTTCATTTTCTTGACAATGAAAACCAATCACCCTACATGGGGTTAGACCTGAGATATTACAATTTCGCGCCATATGAATTTGTCTCTGTACAATGTAAGCAAACCTGTGGTTCGTAAATGGGTCATTATTGTCAGTAAACATCCCTGTGACTGTTGTCAGTTGATCAGAACTCTTATACTTCTACGTATCGATTGTCACTTCGATCTCTACCTCATCTAACTTACTTAAGTAAGCCAATGTGTATACTCTAAAGTAAAATAGATGAAACTTCACTTGCTTAGCTAACTGTAGGAAAATTAGACTTTTTTATTATTCCATCGACATATTCAAATACCTTTGTATTTAAATCCATTCATTACATGCCTTTTTTGTATTCCTTATTATATAAATAACCTGGGTGATTAAATTCTCTTCATTCATTCAATATAGAACCTTAAAAGTACATTCAAATTAGAAATTATTTAATATTGTTATCATCATCTCAGAATGTAATTACCCCCAATTGTTATATTAGTTTATATATTGACAATTAACAACCTTTTTTTAATTTAATAATTACATTGAAGGTTTTCTAATTGTTAAGCATTTCTTAAACGTTGTATATTTATCTTCTTGGTCAAATGAATATTTAATCATTACTTTATATTAATGTTGCATCCTAAACCTATTTACTCATGTGTTCATATATTCTCTATTGTTTACCGTTTTATTATTTATGGTATTCTAAATAATTCATTAACGTTTGACTCTTTATGATACTTAATTTTAAGCTACTGACTATATAATTTAGTAAAGTAACATTTTCATTGAATTCAAGTTGCTGACATTATTTATATGATGTAGTGAAAGATGAAATTCATCTGAAAAGTGGGATACAGAAAAGAATTTGACAACTTAATCATACGTCTATTCATAAAGACGTTTCATTGGAAAACAAAAATGAAATATTATTCTACAAAGCATATTAAATAGTGAGATGGTGGAGGACAAAGTCAACAAAAGGAATACCCTACCATACATAAAAGGCATATTAGAAACGACGACAAGACTGCTGAAAACCTTAGGAATGGGTTTTGCACACAGACCAACAAAATCCCTACAATCCATCCAATGGCAAAAGAAGACAAACCAAACATCATCTACAAAATAAACTGAGAAAAACACTAAATCGGACAAAACGGACGCCCACTTCATCTTCGCCTGCTTGAACACCAATTGGCAGTCAAACGCCATGACATGTCCTCACTTACATGAATGTACGTGGACAACTGCGGACACACATTCAACTTCAAAAATATAGAGATTTTGGGTAGAGGCAATTGAAAAATCATCAGAGAATTTTTAGAAGCTTGGCACTCAGGTCAATTAGGAATCAACAAGCACATTGAGATCTGTCCAATTTATCAATCAATCAGGAAAATTGTGCACAAACATAGGAACAAAGATTAAACCAATGGGAGATACAACCGAGACAATGAAGTAAACAATGACAGGTTTAAGGTCAACAAGGACCAATCAAAGTCGAGGTGTACAGGACAAGCTGTGAACCACATGTAGAGAAATTTGAACACATCACTTCTACCTGAATTTTGTGTTGATGATGTCGTTCAGAAGAACGATGAAAGCTCCACGACTAAACTATCTAGCTCAGAAAACAAAACTCCATCAAAAATATTGAATAGTGATTGCACCAAATCACCAACTGACTGGATTTGAAAATATAGATTCCAACTCTGACTTCAAGATATTGTGGACGCCTCAAGTTCTGAAGATCATCATTTCAATCAATTATAACATTTTGGATATTAATTGACATCGGATTACGAAATACAATAAAATAACTATCCGGTGTTCTTTGATGACCGGTAGCTCGCTAAACAATGTTAGCATGTGATTAGAACTTATTTTAAACAACAGATATATGAATAATATGTGATACTGTGAATTGCAAGAAAAATTTATTTGCGTATTAAAAAATTTGACAGACTCAGTTACAGTCCTCTGCTTTTATAGAGTAAATTAAATATTACCGGAGTCATAGAATACACGTTTATATATCATTTTATTATTTATGGATAAAGTGTCAAATAAACGTTCTAAGGCTTTTGAATAGACTAGTCATCAGAAAATCATGGGCTTTTATAAGTTTTCAAATGTAATCCGTTCTCATAGGTATTCGAACATTAAAAAAATGGCTCTTCTCATTTATATCTCAATAGTTATGAACTCATATTTCTATCTATTTCCTAACCATTTCTATATATATTCACCTAGGGTTAAAAGGGATAAAAAGTAAATCTTTCAAATTTCAAAATAATCATTTCCTGAGTTCGTTTATTTGATTATTATTCTAAACATATACGTCAGATCGCTATTGAAATAGATTTTATATAGAAATACTTGGGACCGAATTGTGAAATGGAAGGTGGGATTTGTATTCTCGGTGTACGTGGTTTGTAGTGGTTGAGAGCTTCTACGGCTAAATATCTACACACTTTTTCATGGTTTATGTTATTTATAATGATGATATTTGTATGGAGTATACCTGACTATCTTCTGATACAGCAAACTGAAAAACAACTGACAGAATAAACAAATTTATAAATGGTTACCTGTCAGTTTATTAGTGGTAAACAGTCCTAATCCTAAGAGAAAGATGGGTAAACAGGCGGAGTTTCATCACTTATGAGCAATATATGGTGATGGCTTAGTTGCTTAAAAATTCAATTTGGATCGTAAGTTTAGAACCTCTTTGGCCTTTGTTAAATTGAACCATAGAATAACATCACAAATTCTCATGTAAAATGATCTGACTCAAACTCTTATTTAATTAGGAGATGTATATTTTGTCACTTGACATAACTAGACCACTTAGCTAATAAAAATGTCTTAAAAAATGAATGATAAATGTTATCATTATTTTATATATTCGAGTTAACTGTAAGCCGATGCTATCAGCAAAATGAACCACATAAATTGCATACCTTTTTGTGTGGCAAATTTTACTAGAATACTTGTCAATAATATGAGTTTTGTAGTTGGTCAGTTCTTAAACATGTTTTATATGAAAATAGTTTTCACGATGGAATCATTGGAAAATTAAAGCACGCAAACTTCTGTTTGGTCATTGTTTGGGACTTATCGACAGTACACATCAAAAACCTATATTCGATTGGTCTAAATATGTGCTCAGTTATATTTAAGTGTTTTTTGGAAGGAATCAAAATTTCTGAATATTATTTATAATTGGTTAAAAGCTCTAACTTACCAATTGCTGAAATGTATTTACTATAGATTGTGCTTTTGACTCTTAAACTTCCAGTTTTTATTTTGGTTATTACTCTAGTTGCATATGAAAATACTTTCGTGGTTTGACTCGTTTTTGTCAAATACCATAAATCCTATAGTACAATGACTAACTTTCAGTAATCATCTACTGGAATGTATTCGAATGAATTGATTGATATGTACATAGCTACATACTCTAATCATATAGCATGGTATTTATTTTTAAAGGGATTTGAAAACTATAAAATTAGAAAAGATTATCGAGTCACATTTCTTATTGATATTTAAGTGAAGTCACTAACAGGTAGACAATGATTACGGAGTACGATTTATTTACTGTATTCAATTATTTTCTCCTCAACTATATAAAATGCAGTGAGTTTACTTCATGAGTTATTCATCACATAATTGTAACCTTTTGTTAGCGGGACATAGATTGGATTAAAGCATGCTCAATGCACGATTGCTTTGGTGCACGCCGATTGGCTGATTTCTATCCAATCAGCGCTAGTCGATGCTTGGAGAACACTCTAGAATCTTCTCGTGTAAAAACTACAAATATACTAACGTTTTTCTTATTGTACTTCTTACTTCCATCTAACCTTGTTGCTTGGAATATAATCTCTTTCCTGTTCAATCGTGTTATGATTTAGTGACTTGTCGAGTGAATTGGTGTTCAAGAATACTATGTAATATGAATAGCTGGGTTGTAATAAGTGAGAATTATAACACTTTTCGAATAATTCACTATTCTCTGGTAGACAAGATAATTATTTTATCTCCAATAGTTTGTATCTATCGAGGTACGTAAAATTTTCTATTCGAACTTATAATCTCAATCAAAAATTTATTAATCTTCACAACCCCTATGCTGATAATTAACAAGTGCTCACTAATGACTAGCTTCGTGAGGGAATTCTCGGAGATCTAGTAAGAAGCCATAGCCAGTGGAGCTAACATGTGTCGGGTAGAGACAGGTATCTACCTCAGTACAATGGAAGATGGTCGCGTAATTTAAACACTAACACCATCGGATGCCGACTCGGTGGTCTAGTAGGTTAAGCGTCCGCTCACGAGACTGAGGGCCCTCGGTTCGAATTCCGTGAGCAGGATCGTGGGTGCGCACCTCACTGACGAGGAGTCCCACAATAGGACGAGACGGCCTTCCAGTGGCCTAACATCAATCCGTTCATGATCTCAATGAAAGGAAAAGATAGAATATAATGAATTCATTATACTTTGCATTATAGTGACTTTTAACTGATATCATATGATAATAATAATAATAATAATAAACAAATACTTTTTTTATTTTAGATTATTCAATTGAAGAATTAACTATACAAAATCGACGATTAAATGAATCAAATGAACGATTAGAAAATCGTCTACAATTAATAATACAAACAATAAATGAATTAGATAACCTGTATAATTCTATTAAAAATGATGGCTTCATTAAACGTTATACCACTTTAAAAGATGCCGTTAAACGGATTGTTACAAATAATGATTTATATGATAATCCTTAAGTATAAAAATATAACAATGAAGTATTTAGTTTTGCTTTTTTTCACTCACTTGGCTCATAGCTAATCGTCGTTGTTGGTGTTCTTCTTCTTCTTCTTGAAAATACTACTTAAATACTAAATCCGATTCTGTACAAATTTTCCTAAACAAACGAATAAATGGGGACATGTTGATGATGTAATATCGAATTTCTGCTTTATGTTAATATGTCATTGTAACCAATCAATAGTTTTGATTATTTATACTAGTATATCACTATGTAATTGTTTTTCTTTTGTTTTTTAATACTAAATTTGTATCTTCAGTTATTCAATAAGCCATGGATTGTATTACACCTTAGAAATGTGTATTCTTCGTATTCCCTTTAAAGTGAAACTTGATAAAGACAATATTTACTAAAGACCAACATAACAAACATCTGGAAAATGGTTGTTTATTTGTTTTTCATCTGAAAATTAGATTTTTATTTTACTTTGTATGTTAATGTCTTTAAACTATTTATTTATTCATTTTTTCAGGGAACTATAATCAGTTCATTAATTAATCTAAAGATTTGATATATTTGATAGTATGGTTGTTTTGTAGTAAACATCTATCTGAAGCGACATATCAATGTAAGTTTTTGGCTGTTACAGCAACGAAAGATGATATATATATATTAGATTAGATTAGATTATACATACTGATACTTTCCATTTCAAATTATTGATTTGTTGAAACTTAAAAATTTGTATATAATTTCATACGTGACTATATTGTGAAGTGACTGTGATGTGAACTACTTATATCCACATAAGTAGTATATAACAATGGTTAGACATAAAATGTATTTCAGTGGAAGATCGAAAGGAAAAAACGGAAACGAAGAGCAATCGGTATGAAAATGCACAAACAATGAAATCTAAGACAATGGACTAGTATTCGAGGAAGGAACAGTCAAGTTTGAGACGATGGATTTATATTTTACTAATTAACTATTTACTGTATGGTTCTCAGATTTCAGTGAGATGTTCTGTAATTCGTGCTCAAATACATTCGGTTGTCTCCATTCTTGTTCTTGTTCACTACAGTGACTACAAATGAGAGCATGGACCAATGGATTGCGTCTGTGGTGTTACATGAAAGTGTCATATTATTAAATAAACTTTTGCATAATTTTTATTTTCCTCTTATTCCTACTTTCATGGGGATGAATACCAATAATGCTCAAGAGTAAGTTTCTGTAAGAATTAAGAGGGGATAAGTGACACTACTTCCAAGTAAGGTCTTACAGATTAGGCACCCACATGACATATTTACCGTCGTCGGATTAAGTTTATTATCAAATTAGTATCAGTACCTAACTAGACTCTAATTTCATGCGATAAGTTATGTTTATGAATTTAAATAAAACCAGAAGAAATATTGATGCAGAATAATATGAATTGATTATATTTCGTGGTTTCTCGTCGGCTGCTTACAACCAGATAAGTGTTAGAATTTAACATTGATGTACGAAACAATTGACATAACTGAATGTAAAGAAATGGAATAACGTAGGTTACCAATAATAACTATATACATATGTATATATGCAATAACAGGTCAGAGGTTATTTGTTGTTAGAATCAAGGAAACATTAAGGATGGGTGGTTAATAATCGAGTGGAGTTCAGAGACGGATAAGATAAGTGGTGTGAAAATTTTATAGGTAATAAAGGATGCTCCCGTGGAGAAAGCTATATTGGGCGCACTACCAGGCAACTGAACCAACTAGTTAGTGAACACCTCCCTTCGTGGTTAAGAAAAGGTTACGTCAAAACAATACGCAGCTCGATCCTATCACACTTGATCGATAGCAGTCATATAGTGGACAGAAACAAGTCGTTCAAAGTTATTTATCGGATTCCCACTAATGCACCTGTTGTCACACCATCAATTTGTACTTTTCACATTTTACTTATTATGTAATCTTTTCCATTGTTACTCATTGACTTATAAACTACATTGATTGGTTTAATAATTTCGTATATGCATATAAATATTACTGTATTTTAGAGTAAAGCCTGATGAGGATCTAATCGAAAACAATATTGTTCGCTTATATGTGTTGTTCTAAATAAAAGATTAGTGGAATTAAGAACTGATACGTTGTGTTACGTAATAAATGAATAGAATTTGAAGAGTTCACATAATTGAAGAGGATCAAGTGAGCGGGAATAAGTGACAGGGTGGTTTAAGAAATCGGTAACTAAATATGAAAAAATAAAATGAATTATTATGTAATCCATCGTATTACTTGTTAGTTCCATGAATTCACGAATTATAATGAATTCATTATATGTGAAAATTATATTTGAAATATTCTCAGCGATTGAAATTTAACTAATTCCAACGTTTCGTCCAGCTAACTTGTCTGGACTTCTTCAGGGTAATAATCAAAATTATCAAAGAAATATATAGCTTTTAACAATCAGGATTATACTGTGTTAAACCAATCATATTTGGGTGTTGATTTTTTGTAAAATAGGATAAAATGAGTCAGTTGACTACAAATCATGTGATGAATTCAACTACATGGAAATACTTAACTGAGTAACAAATCGTATGTGTGTGAGTGTGTATGTATGTATGTATGTGTGAGAGATTGATATGAAGGAATAAATAAAGTTCAAGTTCAAGGATGAAAAACTTGATAATGAAAGATCGATGTGCATGTCAAAACATAAATTGTATTGTTTAAAAACTCATTCAGTTCTTTCAATAATAATAACGATGCATGTGATATTAAAAACAGGTTTAAACAAGAGATAGGTTCCAAATTTACTTGTCAAACGAAATTTGCCAGGTAGTTGCCATTTGAATACCATCTTTTCGGTTCAGGCTGTTCTTGTTCGCCCATATATGCAGAGCTTCTGCTGTCAGTCTTTCTTTATGGGTGTTAAAACCTTTCTGAAGTATTTTGGTCCCTTCAAAATTAATCTTGTGTCCTATTTCTAACGCATGTAACGCTATCGCTGACTTATTTTCAAGTTTCTTTAAATCTACCGAGGATTTTGGAACATTTTTCAAGCATTGTTTGTGTTCCTTCAATCTTACATTTAATTGCCTGGATGTTTCTCCAACATAGGTAGCATTACAGTCATGACAGTGAATCTCATACACAATGTTCTGTTGTTCTTCCTTTGCTAACTTGTCCTAACTTTCACCAATGTCGATCTTAATGTGTTATTTGCTCTAAAATACACTCTTATATCATGTTTGTTTAGAATCCGTTTGATTTCTTCTGATGTTTCACTACGGTAAGGTATGACTACGGTGTACTTCCATTCTTTTCGTATACTTTCTAGTTTAGTTTTTCTTTCATTTTTAATAATCTTTTTTAAAAACCTTTTTGGGTAGTTGTTATCCCTAAGAGTAGAAAATACTTTACTTAATTCGGTTCGTTGGTCTTTCTTGTCTGTAACAATCTTAGTACTTCTGTTCATTAGATTTTTTACCACATTAATTTTCGTGCTCTGTGAATGGGCTGAATTAAAATCCAAGTATCTCTCGGAATGCGTTGATTTTCTGTAAACATTTATTTTTAACTTCTTATTATTGTGTCGACGTTCAACCAGACAATCTAGAAATGCTAGTTTGTGGTCAACGGATTCTAATTCCTTAGTTAGTTTAATGTTTTCAGAAATGCTGTTTGCATTGTTAAATAGTTCTTCCATACCATCCCGTTTATTGATAATAAAAATGTCGTCTACATACCTTAACCATAACTTTGGTGGACATAAACTCTTTGCGATTGCACTAGTTTCTAGGGAATGCATGAATAAATTCGCTACAATCGGAGAAACTGGTGAGCCCATTGCTATACCCTCTTTCTGTCTGTAAAGTTGACCTCGAAATATGAATAAGGTAGATCTTGAACATAATTCTAAGCATTTTATAACCTCTGATGGATCTAATGGGCATCGTAAATTCAAATCTAAATCAGATTCTAAATAATCATTGATAATATCCATAGCTCGACTGATAGGTACATTAGTGAATAAGGAAGATACATCAAAACTTGCCATTTTTAAACAATACAATTTATGTTTTGACATGCACATCGATCTTTCATTATCAAGTTTTTCATCCTTGAACTTGAACTTTATTTATTCCTTCATATCAATCTCTCACACATACATACATACATACACACTCACACACATACGATTTGTTACTCAGTTAAGTATTTCCATGTAGTTGAATTCATCACATGATTTGTAGTCAACTGACTCATTTTATCCTATTTTACAAAAAATCAACACCCAAATATGATTGGTTTAACACAGTATAATCCTGATTGTTAAAAGCTATATATTTCTTTGATAATTTTGATTATTACCCTGAAGAAGTCCAGACAAGTTAGCTGGACGAAACGTTGGAATTAGTTAAATTTCAATCGCTGAGAATATTTCAAATATAATTTTCACATATAATGACTTCTCTATACTCGGCGCTCAATTACTGTCAAACTATTCGTTCTAATCTTGACGAATATTCGTAATAATATAATGAATTCATATTATTCTGCATCAATATTTGTTATGGCGTTATTTAGACTAATTATAAATACATACACGATTTATAATGTAAAACACTGAGTATAGTTGTTATATTTATATTTAAATGATTCATTAGATGTATGAAAATGTCAGTAGGCAATATAAAACATAGTTATCGTAAACTTGTAAACTGGTTTTCCATACGATCTTCCATAGTCACGAATTCTTTTAGTTGTTCACCGGCGTAGACTTTATCACAAAGCTTTGAGGACCTTAATAGCTTCATACAGTTCTGAAAACAACAAATCAGTCGTGAAACAAACAATTAAACTTAGTTATCAGTGTCACATTCAATAAGTGATTTAGGATTCTGTTAATAGAAATTCATTGATTATCCTTACAACAGACACATCAGAAATTAGTGTTAATTACAATTAATTTCAGATGGGTTTTTGTGGAGATTGTAGTAATTTCAATGGTTAAGATCATGAGTCAGTTGAAGCTAGACCACCATGGAAAACCTGGAAGCACTGGACGGCCGTTTCGTCCTATTGTGGGACTTCTCAGCAGTGCGCATCCACGACCTCGCCCCCTGCGAGATTCGAACCCAGGACATACTGGTTTCGCGCCCGAGCACTTAACCACTAGGCCACTGAGTCGGCATCCAACGGTGTTAATGTCTAACTTCAGCTAATCCACGAAATTGAGCGACACATTCACCATTGTCTTCAGTGAGTTACTACCTCACATTAACACCGTGGGATGCCGGCTCAGTGGTCTAGTGGTTAAGTGCTCGGGCGCGAAACCAGTATGTCCTGGGTTCGAATCTCGCAGGGGGCGAGGTCGTGGATGCGCACTGCTGAGAAGTCCCACAATAGGACGAAACGGCCGTCCAGTGCTTCCAGGT